CCCAGGCATGCAAAGGGTGGTTCAATATACGGAAATCCATCAATGTAATCCACCATATAAACAAACTGAAGGAGAAAAACCACATGATCATCTCCTTAGATGCCAAAAAAGCATTTGACAAAATCCAACACCCATTCATGTTTAAAGTCTTGGAGAGAACAGGGATACAAGGCACATACCTAAACATAGTAAAGGCAATATACAGCAAGCCTACAGCTAACATCAAACTCAATGGAGAGAAACTGAAATCATTCCCACTGAAATCAGGGACAAGGCAAGGCTGTCCAGTCTCTCCATATCTCTTCAACATAGTATTTGAAGTCCTAGATAGAGCAATAAGACAACTAAAGGAGATTAAGGGGATACAATTCAGAAAGGAAGAGGTCAAAGTTTCACTATTCGCAGATGATATGATAGTATATATGAGTGACCCCAAAAACTCAGGCAGAGAACTCCTCCAGCTGATAAATACCTTCAGCAAAGTGGCTGGATACAAAATTAACTCAAAAAAAAAAAATCAGAAGCCCTCCTGAATACCCAAGACAAAAGGGCTGAGAAAAAATTTAGGGAAACACCACCTTTCACAACAGCCACTAATAACATAAAGTATCTTGGTGTGACTCTAACCAAGCAAGTGAAAGACCTGTTTGAAAAATACTTCAAGTCTCTGAAGAAAGAAATTGAAGAAATCAGAAGATGGAAAGACCTCCTGTGCTCACAGATTAGTAGGATTAACATAGTGAAAATGGCCATCCTGCCAAAACCAATCTACAAATTCAATGCAATTCCCATCAAAATACCAACACAATTCTTTACAGACCTTGAAAGAAAAATTCTCAACTTTATATGGAGAAACAAAAAACCCAGAATTTCCAAAACAATCCTGTACAACAACAGATTGTCTGGAGGTATCCCTGTCCCTGATCTAAACCTGTACTATGGAGCAATAGTAATAAAAACTGCTTTGTACTGGCATAGAAACAGAAAGGTAGATCAATGGAACTGAATAGAAGACCCAGAAATAAACCCACACACCTATGAATACTTGATTTTTGACAAAGATGCCAAAACCATTCAATGGAAGAAAGACAGCATCTTCAACAAATGGTGCTGGTTCAACTGGATGGCTACATACAGAAAAATGAAAATAGATCCATATTTATCACCCTGCACAAAACTAAAGTCCAAGTGGATCAAAGACCTCAATATAAAACCAGTTACTGTAAATCGGTTAGAAGAAAAAGTGGGAAAGACCCCAGAATTCATTGGCACAGGAGACAACTTCCTGAACAGAACACCAACAGCACAGGCCCTAAGAGCAACAATCAATAAATGGGACCTTATGAAACTGAAAAGCTTTTGTAAAGCAAAGGAGGACACTGTCATCAGAACAAAATGACAACCTACAAATTGGGAAAGGATCTTCACCAACCCAATATCTGACAGAGGGCTGATATCTGGAATATATAAAGAACTAACGAAGTTAAAAGGCAATAATTCAAGCAACCCAATTAAAAAGTGGGGTATGGACCTAAACAGAGAATTCTCTGTAGAAGAATATAGAATGGCAGAGAAACACATAAGGGGATGTTCAGCAATCCTAGCCATGAGAGAGATGCAAATCAAAACGACCCTGAGATTTCACCTTACACCCATCAGAATGGCTAAGATCAAAAACTCAAGGGACAATGCATGCTGGAGAGGTTATGGAGAAAGGGGAACCCTCCTCCATTGCTGGTGGGAATTCAAACTTGTACAACCACTTTGGAAATCAATCTGGTGCTTTCTCAGACAATTAGTGCTTCCTCACAATCCAGCTATAACACTCCTAGTCATATTCCAAAAGGTGCTCAAGTACACAACAAGGAAATTTCCTCAACCATGTTTCTAGCAGCTTCATCCGTAACAGCCAGAACCTGGAAACAACTCAGATGTCCCTCTATGGAGGAATGGATACAGAAATTGTGGTACATTTACACAATGGAATACTACTCAGCAATTAAAAACAAGGAAATCATGAAATTTAAAGGCAAATGGTGGGATCTAGAGAAGATCATCCTGAGTGATTTGAGTTATCCCCAAAGCAGAAAGACACACACGGTATATACTCATCTTATACTAGACGTATAAGATAGGATAAACATACTAAAATCTATACAACTAAAGAAGATAAACAAAAAAGAGGACCTGGGTAAGATGATCAATCCTCATCTAGAAAGACAAAGGGGATGGACATTGGAAGTAGAAGAAAACAAGTAACAGGACAGTAGCCTACCACAGAAGGCACCTGAAAACTCTACCTAGCAGTATATCAAAGCAGATGCTGAGACTCATAACCAAACCTTGGGTAGAGTGCAGGGAATCATATGAAAGAAGGGGGAGTTAGTATGACCTGACAGGTGCTCCACAAGGACCAAATATATCTGGACACAGGGGTCTTTTCTGAGACTGTCTCTCCAACCAAGGACCATTTATGGATAAAACCTTGAACCCCTGCCCATGGAAGCTCAATATCCAAGTGGGTTTTCCCTAGAAACAGGAGCAGGGACGGTTTCTGACATAAACTCAATGGCTGGCTCTTTGGCCTCCCACTTCGAGGGAGGAGCAGCCTTGCTAGGCCACAGAGGAGGACACTGCAGCCAGTCTTGAAGAAACCTAATAAGCTAGATTCAGATGGAAGGGGAAGAGGATCTCCCCTTTCAGTGGATTTAGAGAGGGGCAGGGAGAAGATAAGGGAGTTATGAGGGAGGAGCTACAGCTTGGATACAAAGTAAATAAACTGTAACTAATATAAAAAATATAAACTTAATTTTAAAAAATATTTCTATTACATATTTGATTCATCCCAACACTGTAGGGGATGGATATTTATTACAAAAGCATGTATTTGATGTCTGAACAACCAGAAAGGTCTGTTGCATGGGTGTGCCAATTGTCATTTTCCAAGAAACTAATAGGCAGTGAAGTATTCTGAAGGGCATTTTGCTGTTTAAGTGCGCATGATATAAGTGGCAGAATTACCTCACCATCCCTGGGCTGCTACAAGAGAGAAAAGTCAACATTGTCTCATTAAAGGACAAAGATTTGGAGTATTTACTCTAACTCTTAGGTTACACATTAGCAGACAAATGGCCCTTTCTACCACAAGGTCCATATTAGAGGCCAGGCAGTGAGGGCTAAGTCTACAAATGACACAGATACTCATAGCATCATAAGTATGGCAAGCTGAGAATGTTTAATAAAGTCTGATGGTCCTCCAGTTGCCCAGTCTTCTTAATAGTTACTCGCTACTGAAATTATCTTTTTGATGATGTCTTAACATAATGGTTATTACCTTTTACCTTGAAAATGTTTGCAAGTTGCAAACTAAAAACACATCAAGAAATTTTAACTAGTTAACATTTAGTTTTAAAACCTTTCCAAAACTCTTTCAGCTTATATTTATTTCAATAAGGCACTTCATGGCATGGTACTCTAGACTGCAAGAAATAGCTTCAAGAAATGCACAGAATCCCTTAAAATTACCTATCACTTTTAGAAGGTTATATATAAAGACATGTCTCTGAAAATAAGAGCGTTAGTATCTTTAATGAAATGATGGTTAATTTGGTTGTCGTCTTGACCACATCTTGAACCCAAGCAGATGGGCACACCTCTGAGGAATTTTTATTGATTAGATCATATGAGGTGGAAAAACTCATCCGAAATTTAGGCCACACCTTCTGGTGGCAGCTCACATAAAACAACATGGAAGAAGGAAGCTTTTGCTTTTGCCTGGTTATCCTCACTCTTTCTGGCAAGTTCATCTATCCTGCTGCTAAGGCATGTCTTTACTGATATTAGAACCTACTTATTTGAAACTCCAGTTTAGTTGGAAGATTAGCTGAGGGCATTCAACCTCATGGATTGAACAACTACTGGATTCTTGGCCTTCCATAGAGAGATGGCTATTTTGGGCTATCTGAACCACGGCCTGTAAACCACTTTAATAAATTCCCCCTCTAATATTAAATTATTTTTCTCTAGAGAATTCTAACATAAGTGAGTTCTCAAAGGACCTTGTGAGAAGATACTCTTACCAACAAAGATATCAAAATTAAAGATAATTAAGATCTACTAAACCAAAATAAATAGTTACCTAAAATGAGTGAACATGGACATATATTTGATTTCACTGGAGAAACAATTTCTAATGTGTAAACTCATGTTTAAGGCTGAATCAAGCACTTTAATATTGAATTATCAAAATTATAATTCAAAGGCAGGCATGATTACACATACCTTTTATACTAGCATTCAGGAAGTAAAGACAGACAGATGAGTTCAAGGCCAGCTTTGTCTATATAGTGTTTCAGGACAGCCAAGATACCTAGAGAGACCCTATCTATACACACACACACAAAGAGAGAGACACTTCAAATGGATAACTTTTAAAGGGAAATACTCTGATTTAATAAGTCTTAATTATATTTTTCTATAATAATGCATGACAATCATTTGTCTATCTTTACTTTCATAGTGGAAATAAATGTACCAATGTATATCAAGTTGAAGGTTTGTTTGGTTTTTTTTTTTGTTTTGTTTTTTTTTAAGGTCAACTCTTTTTGTTGTTGTTGTTGTTGTTGTTGATTAAAGATTCACTTATTTATGTATATGGATGTTCCATTTGCATGTATGTCTTCACACCAGAAGAGGGCATCACATCCCATTAAAGACTGCTGCAAGCCGCCATATCACTGCTGGGAATTGTACTCAGGACTTAATGGAAGAGCAGCCATTGCCTTTAACCACTGAGCCATCTCTAGCTCCAGGACTGGGTTTTAAAGAAAACAGCTCTATTTGGTAATTCATGTGCCAGTCCCATAGAGATCTACTGGATCAGAAACTCTGCAGTGGGGCTGGTAGAAATCTGTGTTTTAAAAAGTCCTTCAGATCATTTTGATGTTAATGAAAGTAAGTTTTGAGATATAGGAAAACCATAAATGCTACTGGATACTTACCACCTGTTGTATAGACTGTGAACTTAACAGTTGCTACTAATTCATTGTTTTCCAGGGTGTCACACGCGAAAGCCATAGGCTGTTGTTCTCTTTTTACTTCCAGAACTGCTGTGTCATTTGCAAGTATAACAGGTTGCTATTAGGGAAAAAAAGTATGAATGGTCTTGACTGGTTTCACTGATTGCAAATGGAGACAGTGAAAGATAAGCAGGGTTTGCTGGATCACTGGCAAAGACAATAGGTTGTTAATGTAAGGAAGCACTCCTCTTAACCAAAGGTCCTCTCTTAGCATAGTATGTAATTATTATACTTACATGATTTAGAAGCAGATAATCTAGACTTCAAATCTCAACCTTGTTGACTATGGACAGTACTGTCTGGTGCTAATTTTTGTCAGCTTGACACAAATTAGGGTCACCTGGCAAGTTCCTGCACTGTGTTTCCTCAGTGATGAACTGTTACTTGGAACTATAAGCTTCAGTGAGCATTTCCTCCCCAAGTTGGTTTCGATAAGTATTTTATTACAGCAACAGAAATGCAAACCAATACACTTTCTGTACCTCAATTACTTACCTGGCTTACCTGTGAAACGACACATTGTTTTTTAGGCTTATAGGATTGTTATATGCCTTTTAAGTGAACTTGAATACTTGATGATATCTTGCATTTAAACCACCTTTAATTAATGTTATCTATTATTTATCATGCCACACCTATATTAGCCAGCAAGAATCTTGATTCCAAAACAGAATACATCATAAAATGTGTGAATTTAAGTTATGATTATAGATGACCCTATGACATATGTACTTTTACATATGTAAAATTTGGATTCCAATAATGTAATAAAGTTGCATGACTTTTAGCTCTAGTTTTCAAATGGCTTTCTTAAAACATTACAATTAGGTACCACATCTTATCAATCACTAAAAACAGCAGATTATGCACAGCCTTTATTTACCTGGTCTGACTTTAGAATTTTCCATACATATCTGAAGCGGTTTTCAGGAGATGTATGAACACATGACAGTCTAGCAGTGTCAAGACTTTCAGAAATAGGTCTTCCCCCTGAAAAGAAAGAAAATACAAAAGAAAACCACTGGGCAGAAAATTGCTTATCTGGCCACATTCTTCTTTAATCAACAATTTTAATGGCATCAGCCATCAAGGGCCAGAAGATATTAACACTATCAAGACACTGAGCATAGCAGCCACATACCTCCACAACCATATATATGTATTCATAATGTAAGTGTTAGATTTTCTAATTTCTAATTTCTAATTAGAAAATCCAACTTTCTAATTTCTCCAGTTGAATAAACAGATCCAAAGTTATGATGGAATCTACTGAAGATTCCTGGGAAGATAAAAGGCCACATTAGAATCCAGGTCTCAAATCATAGCTCCCAAAGCAGTAAATAACACTATTGTAAGGCAAGTTTTGCATTGTCCCCTTTTTCATATGCCACACTGCTGTGAAAAGCCACCCTCAGCTGCAGATGTCAATTAAATGCCAAAGACACTGAAGCTTGTACTTGGGAGATTGATTTTAGGAACATCACCAAAAGAAGCAGGTGAGTAGCTATTGATGCTCTTCATTTGAATGCAGAAAATGTGGAAAGGAAAAGGCATTCAACTCAGTGATGTGTTACTTTGAACCTTGGAGAAGCTGAAACGTCAGAAAAGCTGATACAAACAGCTCCAAGTTCCAAGTTTAAGGTTTAACAGTCTACAGAAGTGTTTCCAGGGCGGGCTCAAGCACAGACCCCCAAACCCAGCAAAGCTTCAGCATATCACAGAGTCTACACTTCACTAAAATGTAAACCAAAAGCAGAGCTACTTAGAGGTCCTAGAGAAAGGGAATTGAATTTTTTATTATTTCTTTTTATCAGCTGATTGTTTCACTGTACTCAGTAGAGAGTTGAGGTTAAAGATATTTCTCCAGCATAAACGGTCCTTCAGCAAGTATGGATTAAACTCACAGCCACAATCAACAGGTCCATGGCATTCTTCCACACGAACAATACACTTGGATTCACCTCCAGGGCATCCATTGGTTAAAATAACTTCTCTGATTCCAACACCTTTAGTTAAAGAAAGACGCAAATGTTTAATAAAAACAACTACAAAGGGGCTTTCTTCCCATTTGGGACTATATTTTCTTGAGTTACATATTATTGTCTTGTTTTGAGAATGTTCTCTTATTTTTAAGAATTAAATTCCTAAATTCACTATGACAACATGTAGAGCTCTTACAGACTTCCCCACTCCACTTACTTTTAAAATAATATTAGTTCAAGAAAGTCTCATAAGGTATTTAGTTGCTGTTTCCATCAGAAAAAAGATTCTATGCTCACATGCACATTTAAAAATGTTATAATATAGTTAAAACAACCTCTTTAGAAGTTTTTAAAACTTACAGCTTATTTATTTATTATCTAAAACATGCTAATAAGTATAATAAATGATAATATGAATTTTTCATTGACTAAAACATAAAAATTTTACATCTCAATATCTTTGAAGTCAGAACTTATAATTGTGCATGTTTTAAATTGCTACAATTTTTTTTTCTTTTTAGAGTACACAAAATATGTTCCCTACAGCCAATAAAATCAAATTTGATATAATACATTGGATTACACAAATTTATTTGATCCTGGAACTTTTTAGAGGTGGGGTTGGCGCTTCTGAAAGAAATTCCAAAATCATATTTTACCATAAATCCTGCTTTTAAATGGCCGTATAAAGTCTCTGTTTTAAGTACAGATGGGACAAACTGTTAACCACACCACTATTTCTAGCTAGATACTTTTTCTGAAACTGTCACTTTTTTTTTAGCAAGAAATCAAATGCGTTTTAGCTGAGTGTCACTGGTTTCCAATCCCATTCTATGCAACTGGTGAGGCAGAGTCCACCTTCATCTTTTTGCCCATTAGATTCCCTTCTTCAGCCCCTAACAAGGTATTAATCAGAAGATCATTCCGAGGAAAGGAAGAACTGAAGATAACAGGGGGCTTAGAAACTTAAAATGCAAATTCTGACCAATCTTGAAAAAGTCTGAGATCCTCCATTTCTAACAAGTTCCTTGGTGATGCTACACTTTTTAAGGTCTAAGGAAGTGGGCCCCTACAAGATCGGGAGACAGTTGAACGATTACCAGCCTTGTTATAAAAATAACTCTACTGTAGAGAATTCTCAAATAGCAGCAGCAACAACAAAAGACTTAAATTACAACTGAGCACAGGCTGTTATTGATTCCTTTCATTTTGACTGTCACTTCAAAGCTAAAGCTAAACCTTATTTTAAGCTACAGTAGAAGACAGTGCCTGCCAGGAGCTGGGAGGAGGTGTGTTTGGAGAGCAGTAAGCTACTGATAGGGAGTTCTAGTTTGCAGTACTGAAAATGTTCCACACAAGATTCTGCTAACATAGTGTTAGGGCCACAGGAGCGCATGCGAGAAAGCGGTTACATGGTAAATTTTATGTTATCTGTGTTTTTAGCACTCACATAAAAAACTGTCAATTTTGGTAATTCTTTTACCAATATGTGACCTAAAAGAAGTGTGATGTAGATGTATACAGACTGAAATCTTATCACTGTCATGTTTCCACACCAGACTCTGCCAGGGATAACTGTTTCATTTGTTAATTAGCTACTGTCTTCTCATCATGCTGATGAGAAGTAATAGTTATAGAAGCCAAGGGACTCTCAGCATTATAGAGACCAGCATCCTTGTGAATCCATCAGAACTTCAAACTTTGAGACCTATCCATGGTCCTCGGTTGTTGGAAACTGGGTCAGTCCAAAATCTGCTTTAACATTTAGGGTAGCTGTCTCTAAGAACCAGTGCTCTATAGAGCACATATAGCCTGCATTTTCATGAAGATAATCTGTTTAAATCTTCTATTCATGGAATAGACAATGTCATGTTCTTTCACCATTATTCACTGCAAAAAGCTAACACCTCTTTTCTCCAAAATATGATGCACAAATTAAATAAATGGAATATTTGTAATAGTCTATTGCAAATAAGCCCACTTCTTGGCAAATTTGCCAAAATAGTGTGGGAATGCATCTGTTAGACGTACTGAAGAGCCATCATTTTTGAACGTCTGTGAAGGAAAATTTTAGTGAGGACAGTTGATATGCAAAAATACCCTGAATCTGAAATATACCCTTTGATGCAATTACCTAGTGTTGTGTGTAAATCATAATAGGTATAGAAAGCAAAGAGAGAGGAGGAAAGTATAAAAAATACAGAAATTACAAATAATTGGCATTTTATTTCTGAAAGCATGACATGTCATTTCTTTGGCCTATGCTACTTACCACATGTGACTGTGCACATTCCGAATTCTACTTCTTTGACTACTGTTCCGTTCTGAACTAAACATAAAGTTATAAAAAATTATTTCATTGTATGAAAATTTTCATAAGTGACAATCTTACTTGGGAGGTGAAAGGTACAATTAAGTGTCATATGGGCAACAGATTGTTTTTTTAATGTTCTATTAAAACCAGGAAAGCAAAACTGCCATCAATACAGTTATCACCATTGTAAATCAAAAGAAACCTAAACCTTTAAGGACATTCATTAAATTAGAAATAACTTTATGTTTCCTTCTGAATCTCATATATAACACGAGGCTTTTCTTTTTTACTACTTTGCACAGTGAATTAAAATCCAACTGGAAAAGAAAAATAAAACATACACACAAAAGCCTTTGAACTTTAGGAACTATTTTTAAAAGTCTCTATTTTCTATAAAGGAGAAGCTAATTAATAAACTGTAATACAAAACAATTTACATCTCCAAATAAGTCTTCATACCAAGTGTACATCAAAATTACAAGTTACAAATAAATTCCATTCATTTTACAGGTTTAAATGGCAGATTTTTGTTGTTTCTAATAATCTGTTCCACAATACTTTATTCAGGAGGCTAATTTATAATATATATAATTATTTAGGAAGCATAGTCATCTTGGCTCTAAATCACATTTTCTTTTTACTCTCCTTTTATGACTTGGGAGATTTGTTTTGGGAACAGGATCTTGCTACGCAGCACAGATTGGCCTTGAACACAGTGATGCTCTTGTCTTGGCTTCTCTAGGAATATAGGTGTGGGCTACCATGCCAGGACATTCCCTTTTTTCTTAATCATTCTGACATTTACTGAGTTCCTATAGTTATAGCATGTAATCACGTTTTCAGAAACACATATTAAGACTCAAATATCAACAGAAAACAGTACACAATGGGCTGTTAAAGAAGACTGTTAAAAGGCACTGGATTTTCAGACAGCAAATCACACAGAAAGCACATTCAACTTGAAGTCCAAAACACAACTTCTACCACTAATTAGCTGTTTGAATTTGAGTGAGGCAACTCAAATCTGCCAGGCCTAGTTAACCCCTTGTCAAAACTGCAAAGCCTATTGCACTTGATATTTGAGACTGAATGAAATTCTATAAATTGCTTAGGTCTGTGTGCCCAATTAAGACATGATAGTGAACCCAATGCAAACTCATTTTGCAGTTATTAATTTCATATTCTCATTTTCAATATTGTAAAACATTGATAATCCCACAGATGCTGTGTTCTGTATTTGCATGCATCAAATACAGTGCTGTAAATATAGAGTAGGCACTTGATTTATATATATATATATATATATATATATATATATATATATATATAGTCAATATTGACTTTGTCAAAAGATTTGAACTATCATGATGATCAATTTAAATTGACATTATAATAATAATAACCTGGCATGCTTGAATACTATCAGTTGGTATATTATGAGGCATAAGCTAAAAACCGGATCCTGGGCATAAAAGCCTGTAGTAAAGGAATGACTACTGGACCACTTAAAAACTATCAGTCAGTCAACTCCATTATTCACTATCTATGCTATTCTGAAGACACGTCATTCCTTCTCGAGTTTCCTCAGAGCAGGAAAAGGAGGACAAGGAGATGGCACCAAGCAGCCTCTGAAGATTCTTCAACTTTAGTATTTTTGATGCATTGAGTGTCCACTGGATCATTCAGTCACTGTTTAAAACTGGAAAACCACATTGGTGGCTTCAAGAAAATAATACCTATCTGGACTTCCATGTGACATCTGTCAAGGTTTCCCATTATATAACAAGATAGCCAATAAAAAAAATAGTCTTAATATCAGTTCCTCCAAAAGATCCACGGATGCTAATTAATTGGTTGGTGTCAATGTAAAAGGAATGGTGTGTCAAAGACAGTGTCTTCCTCAACATTTTATTAATGACTTCGGTAACATGCAGACTGAATCTGGGGTCCTGAAAATATGTCTGGTGATGAATTTAGATATGAAAGTGGCTGGAGGAAGAGCAGCCAAATCTAACAAAATGAATCCTCAGATGAAACTAAAGTCCTATGGGTTGAACCTCCAAGTGTCCAAAATTACTGTGTGGCGTATCCTGAGAAAAGAAAAGGTAAAAGTCAGCAATGATCTCAGCAGTGAATGCAGGAGGCAAGCATGCGGGAAGGGTTCCTGAAGGCCCTTGCTCCCAGAGTGTTGCCAACAGCATGTAGGCAATCATTCCACTGCACAGTGGCTGGGAGCACACATCACCAGGGTGAAACTGGACTCCCTCAGTCTGTTTCTTTTGGGTTGATATTTCAGAACTTTTATTCTTTCTTAAGGATGAATGAAGGACATACTTTTAACTTCATTTTACTGAACTACTGGGTATTAACCTAAGGTCTCATGCTAGGCGACTGTCCCACCTGGGTGGATTCCTTACCGCTACTCCTCATTTTGTTTTTGAGATAGGTTTCATTAAGTTACCCAGGCTGGCCTTGAATTCACTTTGTATGCCAAGTTGGCCTTGAATTTACAATATTCCTGTCTCGGTCTCTGGGATATAAGCCTGTGCCAACAGGCTCAAACACAGTTGTACTTTATTATAAAGTTGATTTTATAATTCACTATATATGTTCATGGAATCCTTTAATAAGCCTAAGCACATACAGATTATAGAATGTTTATGTTTTAAAAGATATGTAAGGCACATAAATGAGGGATAAATTAACATACTCTAATTTTTCTTTTATCTTAAAACATTGTTATTCCATAATTAGTAATTATTATCCCCAACTATATTAGAAAAACTAAAATTATCAACTTTAAGACTGATTGGAATTGTCTACAAAGATGAGCAATTATGAAATAAAGCAAAGCCCTGCAGTCAATGTCTCTGCCATCTCTGCAGCTCCTTTTCTCTACCTGTTTTACACTGTCTTTTAGGAGTGTGGGGCACTCTAGACACCCTCCTTTTCATCTGTTTCTGGGGAACAAGCATAAGAATTCACCAGAAACTGTTAAGGTTCAACAACTGGCAGTTTTTTATTTGTACCTTTTGGTCTTGCTTGATGATGGCCAGGAGGAAAAAGAACAGGTAAAACATTTCACAATTAACAAACAAATTGAACAATGAACAGGGACTCATGGCAGTATAAAAGGTAAAGCATACTTAGTCACATAATCAAAACCTCAGTTCCATATGGCACCTGGATGAATATCCTGGTTTTTCTCTAACTTAATAAGTAGATGTGGAGTTTCTAAAGACAGAGAAGACACACGGTACATCTTCCAAAAGGAGGGGTTTTCTCCTGATATATTCTGTTACAAAGCTTGAACTATCTTGCTTTTCTAAAAACACAAGGACCCATTCATTTTATACATCAGATTGACTTGAGATTTAAAAGTAGAAAAATCATGACAGTAGGTCTTTATGTGGGACCTCAAAGAAAAGAGATGATGCCCACATGAGTAAAACTCATTGTAATCTTCCAGTTTTTTACAAATCTAAAGATGTAAATGTTCTGCAAGTATGCAGCTAAAGTAGTATGCTCTTCAAAGAGATGCCCACCTTCTGTATTTGTCAGAAGTATTGCATTTTGACAATAGTGCAAAAAGAACAATAATGATGAGCTAGGTTCTATTAGAGATCCTGGAATTGAATTTACATGATGGATGCATTCCAATTTTATGCTTAAGAGTTGAGAATGTAAGTTTTCAAACTATTTGCCCAGTTTTGAGCGTGTATATCTTCAAACATAGGACATAAAAAAAATAGGTGGTTACAAGATTGAAATTTCTACTAAAGCTTCTCACCAAGTGTTTTGCTAGCCCTTACATTTGTGGACTACTTTAAGGCAACTTAAAAGGAAAAAGGAAAGAAAGGGAAAAGAAAAAAAATACACTAGCTAGTAAATGATGATTTTTTTGCAGAAATTTTGCAGGTCCATGGGTTACAAGGATCATGCAAATTTACCAAGGTTCTGAAGTGTTTGGCCATGTATCGCCTGTTTATAGTTCTGGACTCTCAGTCTCCCCAGTCAAAAGTACTTAAGCAGGACACTGTACATACAAACTGCAGAGGACTCAAAAATTCTCAGAAGTCCGCAGATGTAGAAACCGAGGCACTAAAAGAATATGTGACTAACTTTTGAACGTAAGTGATCACACATTCATCCCTAGGCACCTGCCTCACTATTCACTTAGCACTTTACAGCTAGAATTCTCTTTTGACCAAAACTGTTCACTCAGATAGAAGCAATGCTTAGAAGAGTCTCTTCTGTGGTCCTTTCTTCCTCACATTTCCAAAGTCTGGAGCTCTTCAAGATCTCTGTAAAGTAGGATCCCCAATAACCTCAGACAGTCAATTTCTTTCTGACACTGACAGTCACTGTCTATGATCAGGAAATAAAAGGATGGCAAGTATGGCACCCATGTTTCATGTACTGATTGAGAAACAAAAGTCATCAAGACAATGTCTGCTGAATCATTGGTGGGGGTAGAGAATCATCCTCCTTTAGAAGATGCCAACTTGCCATTGACCTACCAGTATGTGAGTTACACATGAATATTTACAACTATTTGTAAGGTTCTATTGATTGATGACCCAGGAGCGTAAGCCATGTTTATGGAGCCAAACACAGGCTTCATTCTGTTGTGTTAACAGCATCATCCAACAGTGTCATTTCTTGGATCATTTTGTTTTCTACCGCCCCTGCCCTTTGAAGAACAAATACTACAATGCCTGCTGTCAGGGAGCAGAGGACTAAAACAACACAGACAGACAGACACATAAACACAGACACACATACACATGGCTCCCCATAGTGAGAGGGTACTTCATTTCTTTAAAATGTGATTTCCTTCTCCAAAGTAAGACTTTAAAATATTTCTGCAGCAATTTCTATATTCATGCTTTTGTTCCCAGGGCCTTAGACATTAGCACCTTGTTTTTAAAGGCCTTAAGATGTACAAAATGGGTAAACTCGTGTCTGATGCGTATGCCAGAAAACTCTATAGAAGGTGGCAGGGGTGATTCTTCAAAGGGTGGGCTTCTGCCCTCTAAAGGGGCCTCCTGTGCCCAAAGGGCCACTGCCCTCACCCTCTTCCTCCGCCTCAGCCTGGTTCTCGCTCTCCCCCGGCACATCGGTGTCGTTCTCGGCCTCCTCATCGGTCTCACTATCACTCTCGCCCTGGGGTACGCCAGGATCCTGGACCACGGTGACGTTCGCCGCCCGCGAGGCCTGCAAGCCCACCAGGAGCAGCCAGCTGACGGCCAGCAGCCTGGCGGGGCAGCCCGCGCCCGCGGCGCTCATGCTTCTCGGCCCTATGGCTGCCCAAAGCACAGTCGCAGCCCTGGCTCTGCAGGACAGGCGCTTCGAACAGCGGCCACAAGGCGCTACGCTGCGCTGCAGAGCTTGCTTGGCGACCATTGAGGCGTCACCGCGTGCGCGTCATACCGTTCGAGGCCTGGCCCACAGCAGCCAGGGAACCCACGTCCAGAACCGGAACGGGGGGGGGGGCGGGGGGGGCGGAAGAGTGGTGCAAGGGCGGGACTTCCGGTGCTCTTTCCGGCCTGCCCATACTACCTGAGCTAGCAGGGATGGAAAGCCACCTTTGTGCTCCTTTTTGAAGCCACCTGTGCAAGATATCAGCCGCTTGGGTTGTTTTGTTAATCCACTGGCCCTCCAATGACTTTGGATATCTTGCTTCCTTTCTTCCAAGACATTTTTTTTTTTTTAAATTTCCTAAGCTTAAGTGTTCAGTACTAGACTATATGCACACTCCATGTGACTTGGTTTCAAAATTTCCTGTCCTTAATAGCTAATTTGGACTCATTGCAGTCTTTCTAATTATGTTGCATCGGGCTGGATGGATAGCCGCAGGTAACAGTGACCTGCAGCGAATGCAGAAGAGCCCTTGGCTTTGGATTTTGTGAGCACTGCTCAGCTATGCATTTACATTATACAGTGTAGCACGGTCAGCTCCAGGGAAGGAAGACAGGTTAAATTGCCAACTCTTCGCCCCTTTGTATTTTCGGACACCTAATTGGGATGTGAGATTCAGCTTTCATGCAGATTTTTTAAATCCTGTTGTCTTAACGATATTAGATCTCCCCCCAGTTTGGTTTGGAAAATTCATCTTCAGATGGCTTCACAAGAGGTCAGTGACCAGGCCCTGAGGAGGTTACTCTCACCAGTGCTCCACACATCCCTGTACTGATCTAAACTCAGTCTTTTCTGCTGGTTCATAGTTGCATGAGCTTGAGTTAGACTAGAAGCCAAAGTTATTATTTCCACTTGAATCAGTAGAAGATTTTAGAGCTTATAATTTCCCACTATTCCATTTAGGATTAATGTGTACTTTTATTTCACAGGAACGAAGAGGTACAACTGCATTCCTTATATGGTGATGTTTTCTCTAGTCTTTAATTCATATTTCTTCTTTGGAAATATACATGGGGATTTTTTGAGTCAGAAAGAAACTTAAAAATCATTATATTCTGAGTCATTCATTGTTAAGCCAGGAGATTAAGAACTGGACAGTTTTGAGTGAAAAGCTCAAGCCGTCTGTACCCTCTCACACCCACTCCACCCCAAATCTGGATCTCACAAGCAGAGCTAGGAAACGCACAGTGATTCCTGCAACTCCAAGTTAACAGTGAAGATATACTTTGTGCTGTGACTAGAAACAGAGAGTTCAATGACTGACAAAGATTAGGGTTGATATATGTCTTAGGGCTCTATTGCTGTGAAGAGACACCATGACCGCAACAACTCTCATAAAGGAAAACATTTAATTGGGGCTGGCTTACAGTTCAGAGGTTTAGTCCATTGTTGTCATGCCTGGAGCATGGTGGCATGGAGGCCAACTTGATGCTGTAGAGGTAGCTGAGAGTTCTGTGTCTGGATCCCCAGGCAGCAGGAAGAGAGAGGGAGACTGGATCTGGCTTGAGCTTCTGAAACCTCAAAGCCCAACCCAGTGACACATTTCCTCCAATAAGGCCACACTTACTCCAACAAGGCCACAGCTCTGAATATTGCCACTCCCTATGGGCCAATGGAACAATTTTTACTTAAAGCACCATAGTTTTTAAATTGGCTCCAAAATTGGTTTTATTTAGTAAGTGTCATGCAAGCTTGTTGTTGATGGGATTTTTTAAAAGTAATGCTTTGAGTGTCACTATTTAAATTCCTGTGGCATCAGTTGAGGAGTCACATGCTACCTTGTGCAATGAGGTGAGAACTGGGTTCTAGGCTATTTGTAGATCCAGTCTCAGCAGACTAATAGTAAGCCCATAATAGATTCTTTCAGGGACACTTGTTTGTAACAAAAGTACACATTTTTATTTGAAAATTTTAAATAAAGGTTTGTAATATGGTCAGTATTAAATTTGACCATAGAAAGGTACCTCTGGGATTGTTTTACACAGAGTTAAAATAACAGAAAATATTCTGGCTCTTGAAAATTTTGTGGAGGTCATACTGGTGAGAAATTTTAAAGTGATCTTGAGAAATAATGACCCTTGTTTTACAGTTAAATGAAATCATCAATATTTTTCCTTTACTGATATTGAGAAGAAAAATTTTTAAAATGCACCTTCAAAAAACCTTAAAAAAACATCTATTGTATTGTGACAGTTAAATTGTTGAGTATTTCACATTCAATTTCAGTATCTCTTTTCCTCAAGATACTAATCTTGTAAGGCAGAAGTTCCATACACCCTAAATTCAAGGCAATGTTAATAACCTCATAAATAAACCTTTCCAAATGGAATCCAAATGGACCTTAAAATGAATCTGAAAGATATTAAAATTACATCCATGATAGCAACTATATAATGCTACTTATATAACAAATTTTACTCTTGTAGAGTAAGAAGCATAATATTCTCAAGAGTAGTGAATTCACACTCACACAGGAAGCTTTCTGTCTTGTTTTGTTTACTTTCTTGCAGCAATGAGGATTGAACCAGGGAATGGAACCTATAGCCTTGGGGTTGCTAGGCAAAAACTTACCCTGTGTTAAGAGATGTATATCCTAAGTGAAGCCATAAATACATAAAAGGTAGGTTTTCAGCCAGAGAGTCCAGAAAAGGTGACTCTGCTTTGGCCTGCGAACACAAAATAGCAGTAATTTTAATGCCATTTTCCGGTTTATAGCTCTGCTTCATCACCTAATTCACTAGGCTAACCTTCCCTTCCCTTCCCTTCCCTTCCCTTCCCTTCCCTTCCCTTCCC